AGAAGAAGAAGAAGTGACGTCAGCAGCTTCATTTGCCTAATCCTCCCTCGGGTACTTATTCCAGTGAGAACGCAATCTACTAAAACAGTTCGAGGGACTAAAGAGCTTCGGGGGGAACAAGCTAAGTACTTGGTGTGAAAGCGGCTATAGACTCTACATTATAAGAAGTAGACAATTTAAAAAACAACATCACTAACAACCCCAAAAAAGGCAAGAGATTTGTAGAGACCTTTCAATCGTAAGGAAGCCACGCCTTAAAGTATAGCCTTTATTGTCTATTTTACTCTAACTTGGACCATGATTTAAAACACGAACATCAATGTGTATCGAAAGAGACTTTGAACTAAAGATTGAAACCGTATTTACTTCTATACAATCGGACTTATTTTGCAGCCAGTGGAGTCGCCCCCTGCTGGCCATTTTTATACTTTTTCGACACGACGCATCGGCTTCACTTTTCAGATCCGGACGTTGCTGCTTGAGCTGGCATCAAAGAGGGGCTGAACATATAAAATCACTCGCTAACTGTTGTTGTTGTTGTTGTTAACTTGAAGTTGTGTTTCACTGCCTTTTTAATGACACCCATAATGATTCCGTCTTCCTCTTCTATCTCTTTACATGCTTTCTTTAAACCTCTCTACTTTGTTGGCGCCCTTCGCCCCTCCCACTCCCTCCTCCTCTGATAAAATCCATCCAATCAAAATGCACTATGAAATCCTTCATCGTGTTCTCCATCCGTGCTGCGCCATGACATGTGGTGGTGGTGCTGTGATGATGATGATGATAATGATGGTGATGGTGTGCCTTTCGCCCCATGCCCCTGTCCAAAAAAAACACACGACCAACCCCACCTCCCCCCCACCACCCCCACAAAAATGTCTCTCACCCACTCACAATGTACTTCAACTTACCAAAAAAAATATATATATATAATAACCACCCTTCCCATTCATCTTTCTACATCTTGGCAAATGTAGAATCTGGTTGGTTTGTAATTTATCTCTCAAAGCTTTCTGCTGCATCCTCATTGGTCATGCGTACACCCCCCCCCCAACCCATTCCTCCCCCATGACCAGTCCTAACCTTGACCCAGTGCATGTGCTTCCTGGATGATGACCTTTACACTCTTTGTGCTTGGTAACAACGAGCGAAAGAACATTGTGAGCGAAAAACGATTTTACAGATACTCAAAAGTACTTTATGAAATTCCCTAGAACATTTTAGAAAACACAGGTTTTGAATATGTAGCTAGGGCTGGGCAATAAAGCTCAAATCAAATATCGCAATATGTTTATACCAAAAGCTTTGTTATCTGCAATATATAAGGGTTGACTTTGAGTGCTTTTTAGATATATATTTACAATAGATTGGTAATGAAATATCATGATTATAAGGATGTAATGGCTGAGTGAAATAATACAAAAGTGTATAACTGCTAGAACATGTAAGACAAGAGAATACTTAAGCTGTTCTTATTTACAGTTTGTAGCTATACCAACATCATTTAGTATACATTGTGTATATTCCTTGAAATAAATGCATAAGTTAATTAGTAAGTTAGTGACAATATTTTAACCAAAACCCCAGTATTTTTCTCAACGCTACAGAGAACCTTAGATAAACTGAACTAAGTTGTTTCCTCTGATAACTGAAGCTTTTATTTTAAAGCCTGTATGCATGTCAGGATCAGAAATTGACATGCATTTCTGGACAGGATGTGTTAAGACAATAAGCATATCCAAAAGCATCACAATATCAATCAAATACTTATATATTGCCCTGCTTTACTTGGAAGAAATGACCATAATACAAATATAATCTCACACTCTTAGTGCAAATAAATAAGTGAATGTGTGAATCAGAGCTTAGTTTGTGCCCCTTCTGGTCTGCATGTAGGCCAGCTCTTTCTTTAATAAGTTTGCTGCCATGCCGAAAGTATGCCTGCATCGAGGCTGCTCGCTAACCCCTCCTTCCTCCCCCTCCTCTTCCTCCTCATGCTCCTCTTCCAGCCTTGCCTGTCAACCACAAGATGCCAAGGCCCCTTCAGGACGTTTGGCTGTTGTACATTAGTCTGTCTGTGGCATCGTAGCAGAAATCTCAAATCCATATTGAGACAGTAGCTCCCTGGTCTCTACGGTCATTTTCACACTTGGTTTAACCCATAAGACCCCAGACCCATTTCTACTTGTGGGGAAATTAAGGGGGCATAATTTAGAATAAATAGATCACATAGAACACATTTCTGACAAGTAACCCCCCCTAGTGTCAACGTTCTGAAAAGTGACACAATGGGCTTTAATGGTAAAATAACTCTTATTTATAACTTAATTAAAGAGGATGTTTTGGTTTAAATTTGTTTGAACATTCTTTGAATTGAAGAATAACAACATATCAACTCAATATAATTCAATCAGCTAAATTAACTGAGCAGATCATAATCATATTTCTAATTGTGCGTATGTCACCAGTTTAGGATTAAAGTCCCGATCAGTGTCACAGCGATGTTTGTCTCAAATGTTTCATATCAATTTGATCAAGAAATGTTTCCACAACAGGTTACATGTAATAAAGGACATGTTATGTAAGCATTTTAATTCTTAAATGGCTTGAATTTGACCTTTAGCAACAAAAGAAAAGCTTTTGAAATGTAGCTAGTTCTGTCACATGTGTTAGCATCGCACATGGACATCTTGGACATGTTGTCATGGGAACGCAAAGTCACATGACCTGGCCCATGACCCACCAGACTGTTCAGCGTGTCACTTAGGGACTTCATGAGATGAAAACAAGGCTAAAGCTGTATAAGGAACTTTCCAGAACATTTAAATGTCATGTGACACCTGTGTCTCGGTGGGTCCTAAATACCACTGATTACCAAGACTGTATTTTGTGTCTTCAGTTGTCTGAACAAGTCATTGCTGCAGGACTGTTATCAAACACAAGAGTCACCCTAAACCAGTGCTTCTCAAACTTGTTCATACCAAGGACCACTTAACCAATAAAAAAACACTCGAGGACCACCTAACTCCACAAATATCCCAAAACACATCGTTTTTCTAGAACAGATTATAAATCGCCGGAAAATGGTACAAACAAGTGGCAACATGTGTGACGAAGGTGTTGCGCTGGGCTATATCATGCAATCGAAAGTTAAGCTCGTTCCATTGCGGAGATATTCCCGCGAGAGTGCGGAAAACTTAAATGTATTTATTTCAAATGTTACCAATATACTCACGGACCACCAGTGGACCACACTTTGAGAAGCACTGCCCGAAACCCTTGAGAGAGGCTGGGACTAGTATCCGTATCCACTATGTCACATGACAAGAAAATGTTATGCTTCATAATTTGTAAACTGGTTCTTTTGTCAAACCATATAAAAGCAGTTGTGCCTGGGTCACAATCCAGCAGCAACTTTAACGAGACGCAAAGGAACCATTACCAAATATTTGAGAATGTGTTTTACCATTTGCTTAAAATGGTCTTTCCTACAAATGTAACCACACATATCTACACACATCTTTTCTATCCAATAGGGGATAATGTGTCATATATTATTGGAATAATAACATTGGTGTGTGCTACGATAAATAGCATCAAAGAGAAACAGATTTATGCGCTGACTTTCCGGAACAAACTCATTTCAGGGGAAAAAACCCAAGTGTGAAAATGCACCAAATTTCTCGAACACTGCTCTCTTTAGAAAAGACACCACATGTAATCTGATTTGGAAAAGTAAACCCAAACTATTAAAAGAGTTGCGTGTCACAGACAACCTTAAGCCACGCTCTTTAGGTGTGTGTGTGTGTGTGTGTGTGTGTGTGTGTGTGTGTGTGTGTGTGTGTGTGTGTGTGTGTGTGGGTGTACTTGTGGGGACCTAAATATGTTTACACAGTCACGTGTGGGGACTCGCCTCCCTTATGGGGACAAATTGGAGGTCCCCATGAGGGGAATCATTAATTTTAGGGTGAAGACGTGGTTAGGTTTAGGGTTAGGGTTAGGTTAAAGGTAAGGGTTAGGTTAAAGGTTAGGTTAAGGGTTAGGTTAAAGGTTAGGGTTAGGTTAAGGGTTAGGTAAGGTTAGGGTAGGTTAAGGGTTAGGGTTAGGTTAAGGGTTAGGGTAAGGGTTAAGGTTAAGGGTTAGGTTAAAGGTTAAGGGTTAGGTTAAAGGTTAGGGTTAGGTTAAAGGTAAGGGTTAGGTTAAAGGTTAGGGTTAGGTTAAGGGTTAGGTTAAAGGTTAGGGTTAGGTTAAAGTAAAGGGTTAGGTTAAAGGTTAGGGTTAGGTTAAGGGTTAGGGTTAGGTTAAAGGTAAGGGTTAGGTTAGGGTTAGGTTAAGGGCTAGGGTAAGGTTAAAGGTTAGGGTTAGGGTTAGGCATGTGTTGGTTATGGTTAAGGTTAGGATAAGTCTCCAGGAAATGCATGTAAGTCAATGTAATGTCCCCTGAAGTGATGTATACATGGTGTGTGTGTGTGTGTGTGTGTGTGTGTGTGTGTGTGTGTGTGTGTGTGTGTGTGTGTGTGTGTGTGTGTGTGTGTGTGTGTGTGTGTGGTTGACAGGCACAGTGCAATGTGCTCCATCTTGTGAGGCCTGCCTGCCCCCCAAAGATCAGTGCATTTGGTTCTTAAAAAAAGCGTTCTGCTGTACCAGATTGGATGATGAACTTTAGACTCTTTGATTTTCCTTATTTCCTCTATTTTCCTTCTTTTCTTTGACTTTTAAACCTTCTCTCTGTCTTTCTCCCATGTATACTTGCATCCACTATGAATCATTAAGTTTGCAGTTATGTTTTGTTGGGTTTGATTCCCCCCTCTCTCTTTCACCTCTCTTTCCTCCGCTGTTGGTTTTGGTTTGTGTGTTTGGTAGACGGAGGTTTTGCATGTTGGGTTTGTTCTGTGAAGCTGACTGTGGTTCCCACTGTGCTGTAGAATAACTTCATCAACTTGAGCTTCCTGAGGCTGTTCAGGGCGGCTCGGCTCATCAAGCTGCTGCGACAAGGAGAGACCATCCGCATCCTGCTGTGGACCTTCGTCCAGTCCTTTAAGGTATCAGTGCTGTGCCCGTCTAAAGCAGCTCAAACTTTGCCCCAAGATCGCCTCGTCTAATTCTCTTCTCACTCAACACTGAACTTTCTTTGGTCCTCAGCAAGACACCCACCAAATATAAAGTGTATAGAGAACCGCAGTGACGCATCCTAAAACCCGGAAGTAAACTCCTTCCGGTTGCTTCGACAAAACCGCAATGCAATCTCTCCATAGGGTTTAGGAAAACAGCTGGAAATAAGGTCTGTGGTTGAAACACATTTAAGAGACGGATCACGTTTTGTTCAGCCGGATAATCTCCACATGTCTACCCTACTTTTATCATTTTCGAATCATAAATCTAGTCGCAAGAAGCAAAATGCTAACGTTATGCTATAAAGGAACTACAGCAGGGTCGCTGCTTCAACGTCACGCCGACTTAAGATCCATATTCAAACATACAGATTCTAAATGGTACGAGTTGAAGCGTTTGTTTGAACAGTCTGCAGGAGGCAGGGACTTGCTTTCAAGCAGAACAGAAACTAACTTAGAGGAGTGTTTACGTGTTCGGCGTAATGACGTACAACGGCCTCCACGACTTCTGTAGTCCTATTCAGCCACTTGGTAACAACCATCGTTTCTCAGACACGTCAACTCTTCAGAAATCACCATCTGCTGATGGATTTAATGTCGTAGAACAAAACGTGATCTGTCTCTTCAATTGTTGTCAACCACAGACCTTATTTGGAGCTATTTTCCAAAACCCTAAGGAGAAAATTCATTGCTTTTTATCGAAGGAATCGGACGTGGTAAAAATGCTAACTTACTTCCGGGTTTTAGGATGCGTCACTGCGGTTCTCTATTGAATGATCAGTTTGTGAGATATGCAAAGAAGTTGTACATTCGCAGACAGAGATGCTTTCTTAATAGTTTGAAGATGCGCCTAAACCCTTTGGCTGATTGGCTACAAGTTTGCCCTGGTCAATCACAGAATACAACGACAGACATCCACCAAATCTAGTCCCAATAAGACAAAACGTTAAGGATATATTAAGGTTTTACTAATATAAACGTTGCCGAAAGCACCTAATTCAGCTATTGCAACCGTTTGGAATATCAACAATGGGGAAAATTCACTTTTTTATATTTTCCGTCTATGATGGATTTTTTTTAACAATGACGGACAAATCTGAAAGCAGTCTGTCATTTTGACAGATTAGAACAAACTCGGAACAGCGCCAAAGTTTCCCGCAGCAAGGCTCCGGTGTTATGCCGTGTTATGCGTGCCCTCCAAAAAGGAAATCATACCGTTTCCAAACCTAACTGCCGTACAAATCATTGAAATGTCTGTGAGTTTTGGCTTTACGCTGTGCACGCTCCCGCGAGGTGCAGCAGCCATGCATAACACGGCGCATGTGAACTGTAAATTGACAGTTCACGAGCATGCTTCCCCCCCCCCCCCGTCAGAGTTGTGTAAAGGCCGACGGGTAATTCTGGATTTTGGCAGAAGTCTTACGATCCTGTCCGTCTAAATGACGGGCAGCGAAAAAGTCTAGCGCAACCTCTGCTCCTTAGTCCATAGATATTGTTGATGTTGAACCACATTTGGTGACAATTGCTCAACATGTCTGGGAGGAGTAGTAAACAAGGGCAAGATAAGAATATATCTTTATCGTCATCATACAAAGTACGACGACATTTCTTTGGCAACTCTCAGATATGTGAAGGACAAACAAAATGAAAGATATGTATTGCTTTGCAGAAAGATAATAGTTAGTTGGTAACATAGTTTAAATATTGTCACAATACATGTAAGGGCTCTCACAAATAATGACTCGCTCTCCATCTTCTCTGGTAGGCTCTGCCATATGTGTGCCTGCTCATCGCCATGCTCTTCTTCATCTATGCCATCATCGGCATGCAGGTGAGTACTGCCTGGGGGGTATACTACGAAGCAGGATTTTCGCTAAATTCAGGGAAAACTCTGGGTTTCCGGTCCTACGAAGCTGGTTCTCTTTTTAGCGGGCTAGATCTCCATGGTAACTTATGCTTAGCGGCTAACCTGGTCGGGACCAGGTTAGGTTGCAGGCTAAGAGCTCAACTCAGTGAAAGCACTGCCTGCTGACCAATCAGAGCTCAGTGTGCGGAGTTTAAAGCGATCAAGTCATATTACAGGAGAAAGGAAATACAGAAAAGCTGCCGTTGCAGGAAAGACAGCCGGCAAAAATCACCGACTGTGTGAACGTGAACATTAATAGAATATCACCTCCATCTTCAGAGCAATCTGACTATTATAACATTAGCGTTAAGAAAGCTTACTTAAATATCTGCCACTACATAAGTAACCGGATCAGAGTAACATTAAGTACAGTCCGCTGCATATCACTTCATAATGTATCATATATCTCCTGATCTGAGTCAGCTGAGCCGTATCTGGCCGTGCAACACTCACAGCGTCACATACTGTATGCAGAAGTATTATTTTAAGCAACACATTAAGTTGATGAAACACTCGAGTCAAATGTAATTAAAGTCAGATCGTGTTTTAGACGGGGCAGTGATATCATAAACCTGTTAATGTACGCATTCAAACACTTGTTCTGTTACCAGCTGTATTCACCTTGCAGGTGCAGCTCTGTGGCTTTGATCCTGGATCAAGTGTTTGAGTCATGGATGTTTAAAGTTTAACTTCTTCATATGTCTAAATAGTTGACTTTTCATTCAGTAAGTATGACGCTGCGCTGTCAGTACGCTTCTCCATGTTTGTGATTGGTCGAATGCTCCAAATACCACCCCTTTCATGTGAACGCGCACCTAACTAGATAGGACACGGCTGGCTTGAGCGATCCACTTGATAACCCGCGTCGTAGGACCGTTTAGCGAGAGCGCGTTTTGGATTAGGCCAACCGGCTAACTCAAACATATCCAGGTTAGGTTGAACCAGCTTCGTAGTACAGGCCTCTGGTGCCTATCTGGAATTGTGTATGTTGTTGTACTTTTAAGGTTCAGCAGGTTTTCTCTTCATATGTGAAATATGGAAAGTCCCGTCTTTCACAACTTCTGCATATATTTCCACTGAACCATTAGAGTTGATACTCTACTACAGTAATGGGTTGTTCTTTGCGTTTGTTTTCTTCTTCCACTATTTGTGTTTAGTTGTTTGGGAATTTGGCACTGGACGACGAGGGTGGGGCCATCAACGAGCACAATAACTTCAGAACCTTCATCATGGCCCTGATGCTGCTGTTCAGGTGAGTGTTGCCTTCCCTTTTACACACACAAACATTAACACGTTTGAATTATTAGTGGTAGCAGGTTGTTGTCGTCTTCTCCATTTAAAAACGGTGTTGTAAAAACCTGTGGCACTGAAATAATAGTTGTGATTGAATCAGTCGATGTATGGAGTCAAAGTCAAAGTCAACTTTATTGTCAATCTTCCAGTTTGTGTACAGACAGAGAGATCGAAATATTGTTTCCCACAATCCCGAATATAATAACAAATGTATATTAAATGTAAAAATATGTGTGCAAATATGTATATATATATACACATGAATTTCGTCTGTTGCCATCAGGGCGTAGATATGCTCTACCTGCTCAAATCGCTTTTCTAAATCATTCATCCCTTCTGCACTCAAACTTTTAAATTCTTGAAAAGGCTTTTAACTTGATTATTTATTTATTTATTTATTATTGTGATGCTTTGAAGTATTTATAGTGTAAATTGGAGTTATCCACATCTGTGCTCCCGGGTGTGTCTGTGTGTTTTCTTCTTGTATGTTCCTGCCTGTGTTCATGACATAAACTGCCGCTCAAAACCAATTGCCCCTTGCGGGATTAATAAAGTTGTTGATTGATTGATTGATATATATACACAGTCAAAGACACAATTTGACATGTTCACATTAAGACCTACATACAGTACAGGAGATGCTACTTCCATGATTGTACGATGAATTCTGATGTTCCCAAAGCTGCCCCATAGCTCCAACACACTCTGATGTTTGGGCAGTAGCTGACCAGTGATGCCTTCTGCACTTTGCTATCGATGACGTGCTTTCTCATATTTTGTCCTGTGTTCCCCCTCCTGCAGGAGCGCTACGGGCGAGGCGTGGCATGACATCATGTTGGCGTGCCTCGGCAGTAAGGTGTGCGACCCGGAGACAGGGAACAAAGAGCCCGAGTGTGGAAGCACCTTCGCCTACACCTACTTCGTCTCCTTCATCTTCCTCTGCTCTTTCCTCGTGAGAAGTCAAAGTCATTTTATTGTCAATCTTCTAGTTAGTGTGTACAGACAGAGAGATCGAAACAATCCCGAATATATAAACAAATGTATATAAAAATGTGTGCAAATATGTATATCCTATATGCACACATTAGACCTAAATAAAACACAACAAACAATATAACTACAAAATGGAACAAGAATTTTGAACCTGGCTTTATCCAAAGTTCAGATTTCGATTCCTGAAATATAAATATAATATGTGCATATTTAATGAGATAATGGTAATTTGCATATTTAAACATGCTATTTCAGAAAACTTGTAATACAAAAACGAATTGCCTTATTGTAAGTAATTAACTGGAGAAATGTATAGCTGATACTTTTAAGTTAAAAAAAGTACCCTATTCACCTGGGGTGTCTCGCCTTAAGACCTCAATAAAAACACAACAAACAATATATATAAAATAACAGTCACTTCAATATTTGAAAATGTACATTAGTGCAAAATTATCCATAGAATGTGCAAAATATTATTGCAGCGTAAAAAGTAGAACTAAACTAGAGAATATTCCAGTTCTATAATCAAAATGTGCATTTATGCGTATTGTTTCAGTGCTTCTCAAACTCTTTTCAGTAATGTCCCCCCTTTGAAACATCTTCTCAGCCGAGTACCCCCTGACCGACCCCGAACACTTTGATAAAAAAAGCCTATATACATAATTACAATATAGTGATGTTCCATCAGTGTGTGATTTATTAACTCCTGCATGAATTACAACCAACTAAGGATTAGTTCATCTTTGTGCATGAAAAAAAAGTTTTTCAACTGAAGTAATATATATGTTTACAAACCAATGAACAAAATGATATATTATGAAAAACTATAAAATACAATACACACATTTGACATATGAGGACCCCCTTGGTGGTTCTAGATATATTTTATATAAAATGGTGTTTTCTATTTCACTTCTTGTACTAAGATTATTTTTGTAACCATGCATGGTATTTTTTTTATTAAACTTTTTTTTTTAAATCTCACGTACCCCCTGCAGTACCCCCAACGTACCCCTAGGGGTCCGCGTACCCCCATTTGAGAATCACTGGTTTAGACAACATCCAATTGCTGCTCTTTGCACACACATTTTAAAACCTTTCTTTGTGATAACTCACGGTGTACACGTTTGGATATATGTCTCACTTTGGATCATCTGTTTAGTACACTTCTATCTTGTAGTATGTGAGTTTTGGCCATGGTAATCAAAGACGGCTGTTGTACATTTAAAGGTGGGGTAGGTAAGTTTGAGAAACCGGCTCGAGATACACTTGTTGTTATATTCCATGGAATGCTCTTAACATCCCGATAGCAATGAATATCTGAAGTGCTTTGACAATAAATCCATAAAAAAATGTCATCAGTGGAAGCCGTGGCGCTGTAAAAAGCACGACCAATCATCTGAGCCGGCCCGGCTAAAGTAACTGGATGGCCTACCTGCCTGTCAGCCTTCCATCTGTGCACAAACTCATCTCGTGCCCTCATTGGTCATGGGCGCGTTCGTGTGTGTTGGAGGAGGGGCTCTGTGAGGAAGTGGAAGATTTTTTCCGGTTGTGTATTTTCAAATTCTAGCGCACTCGAGCTGGTTTCTCCAACATGACCGACCCCACCTTTAACGGAAATTACATTTATTTGAAAGGCAATTTCAACCGGATCCGAAAACATTTGACTGTCGGTATCGAGTAATATTTACAATAAGAAGAATTTAGAGAATTTATCCTGAAAAATGGGTTAAGGGTTAAAACAGCCCTCAAATCAATTCAGATCAGGCTTTGTTCTCACTTGCCTCTCAGGGCTTACGGAAATATGTCTCAAATCTATGATTGTAAAATGAAACGTTCGCTTATTAATTGATGAACCTTCTTTTTGTTCCAGATGCTGAATCTGTTCGTGGCTGTCATCATGGACAACTTTGAGTATCTGACCAGAGACTCCTCTATCCTGGGGCCGCACCACCTGGACGAGTATGTAAGGATATGGGCCGAGTACGACCCTGCCGCCTGGTGAGTGGTACACACACACACACACACACACACACACACACACACACACACACACACACACACACACACACACACACACACACACACACACACACACACACTGTAGAAGTGACACAAGGATAGAAACACACATGAACTTTCAAATACCAAAGATACATACATAGTGTATTATACAGAGCTAATGTGAAATTCAAAAACACAAATCTACAAACTGTTTTTTCTGATTTGAATGTACATTTTAACCCTTGACTTTCTCTCCCGTCCCGAAACGGGGCAAAAACTGGAGTCATGATCTCATCCAGGAAGTGTTACAGGACTTACATCATGTGACGTTATCAGTTGCAGCTGGCCCTAAGCAAAGAGTTATCCATCTGTTCCTCTTTCTCTTCGTCTCTCTTCCTTTCTTACATAAGCATTCTGCCTTTTTTCTCAAATTGAGATGAATGTGACCCTCTCCTCCTCTGCCCTCTGTATTGAGTGTGTCTCAGTGTAAATAAATGCTGTCTCCTCTTCCTTCTCCATCATCTTCTCTTTCCAGCTCTCAGTATTCTGTGTGTTCCCTCTCCTAACCTCCCCTCCTTGTATTTTTCTTGCAGCGGGCGCATACATTATAAGGATATGTACAGTTTATTGAGAGTTATCTCCCCTCCCCTGGGCCTTGGCAAGAAATGCCCACATAGGGTGGCCTGCAAGGTTTGGACTGAACCCCTAAAGCACAAACTTAAACGCAACCTGCTCGCCTTTAAGAGACTGGAATGAATGTCGCCCTTTATCACTTTTAGAACAAATCTTTTAGTACTTTTCAACTTCATTTGGTTTGATTTTTCTGTTTGGGTTTGCATTATTCAGTTGTTTTGAATCATTTCACCATTAAACCATTTTGGGGCAGGGTTTCTGTTGTATATGCATTCTGACCATGAATGAGAATGTTTGGGACAATGCAGAAATGCACACACACACTCTTGTACGCAATCCCGCACACACACACATCGATATCGGTGTGTGACGCATGAGATGGTGCACTGCACTCGCTATTGTCTTCTGACTGAACGCTGGGAAAATGACAATGATGTGTTCACTTTTTATTCACTATTACGCACAAACACCAGAGTTGAGACTCTAGCCATTGTTTTTTATTTCTGCTTGCTGTCTAATTTTGCCTGGGCAGAAAAAATGGTTGAGCAATGTGCATTGTTCTTGTTTGAGTTGGGGTGTGGGTGATGGGGGGGGGGGGTACAGAGACTTTAGTACAGAGACCTATGCAGAGAGGGCTTGGTCTGAGTACTGTCAACATGCTAACGTATGTAGCTGTTAGCTCGTGCTTTCCAGCCATGTGTCATCGAGGCTCATGAGTGTCACTGGCATCCATGGCACATGTTTGTAAACCACTGTCCTGAAATACTATATTTTTAATTGTAAAGCCGCTATGTGTACTGAAAGTCAGAATTCTTCTACCGGCCCCTGAACAAGTTTTAAATAAGAATTACTAAAAGTGTTTAATACAATTGTCAAATCGTTTTCAATATGATTGTATTGCTCTTAAACATATTGCTAATGTTGTATTAATTTCACATTATTAAGAGGGATGTATGTCTTGATTGTGCATGCGAGTAAATGCATGTACTTAAATTAGTTTTAGGACTTATTTTAATTAATACTATTTGTCATTCACACTTCTGCCAGTATCGCTGCAAACTGGTGTTTTTACAATACAGTCCTTAAAGTCTTAGAACCTAACTGTAACTGATTGAAACCTGCAGAAACCCTCTCCTACACATAGTGGCTTTATGATTAAAGGAATAAAATCAATTGTTAGGCCTGTTACACGCTCTACATAAAGAGTGCACAGCAATGAGAAGGGACATTAGCAGATTTCAATGCACGATTAAATATATGAAGTCCCAAATGTGTTAACAACCTGGAGAGATAGCAAGCTCTTTGTCCATTTTGATGGTATATATATCCAGTCCTCACGTTGTCGTTTGTGTTGGCACAGTGGAGAATGCAACAGGCCTTCAAGTAACAGATTATATTTTCTGGGTTCCTGAAATACTATGATAACATGGCCAAACCTGCTCTGTTTGTGGCTCTGGTGTTCGGGGAAAGAAGGAAAGGGGCAGGGTGTGTGTGTGGTTTGGGGCAGGGACTCTGGACATCAGAAGGTCTTGTGTCCACCAGGAACCTCTCGACAACTTCCTGTGTCAACGGAGGCTCGTGGGAAGGGATGTTGGTCAAGATCTCTTTAATGTGCTGCAGCCGATTGGTCAGTTCGCCCAAATGATTGAAAACAAGATCATTTACAACTTACCTCTGGTGATATTCAGCCATGCACATATGTTCAGTTCTATATGCTGAGGCCACTGAGCTCAGGTGCTTTGTTAATAGGATGAGACAAGTTGAGCTGTACATCATTACAGTCGCAATCAAATGACAGTTAAACAAATGCATGGGGTTTTTAGGGCCTGGGAGACGTAATCTACGGACAGTGACGTTTACACATATTTATGCACATTTGAGTGTTGACATGTTTGTGCAACAATGATTGCCTTCAAAGTTATAATAAGTAAACAAGACATAAGCGACACTCGCATTAATTAAGCGCATTGGGAACGCTAGCAGCGCCTTTGGCTTTCCCATTCTAACTGTTGATGTCTGGTGCCTTATCCTTTTTAGAGTTTATTTGGGCCTTCTTCACTTCATTATTTTCAGTTGATGTGGTATGCCCTTTAATGAGGATCGCAGCAGCGTTTCATTTCCTTGAACGATTGGATTAATCATTTTAAGGATAACAGATGCAAAAGATATTGGTTATAGAGACCCAATATGATTTACATTTCCTGAGCCATAGGTCATACTTAACTTTCGTTGTATGAGCTTTTTCAGAGCTGTGAGACCATGTTATGTCACTGACTGGTCATTATTCGCCACACTCTTTGATTTATACTCCCCTTTTTTTTACCTACATGAGCCTAAAAAACAGGCTTTGACTTGAATTGGTACCACTGGGACGCTGTTCAAAGCTTTGAGCGCCATTACCTTGACCAGTTCACTTTCCTTTGTAATCCAAGTGGATACACATTTCAAGGCTAGGGTTAGGGCTAGGGCTAGGATTAGGGTTAGGGTTAGGGTTAGGGCTAGGGCTAGGGTTAGGGCTAGGGTTAGGGTTAGGTTTGTGTAATTGCCACCAGATCCCCCCATGTCACCCAACGGCTTCATGGTTATACAGAGATCCAAGGAAAGGCACGCGCACTAGAGGCATTGTCGGCGCTTGCCCTAGCTTAGCATCATGATTGAGTCATAAATATGTATAGGTAAAGTAGACAGAAAGTAAGTTTGAAGAACAGAGACAAGGAGGCTAGCTGTGGTTATGGCGAACACCCCCCCCCGCCAAAATGGCTGCCTCCGTTTTAACCCGTTAACCACTCGTCAGACCCCGAAGGACTTGAGCGGAGGAAGGGTTAGGAGTGGAGAAAACAGAATGAAAAAGTGGGTAGAGAGGATGTGGCTGGCTGAATTAATTTATTATGAGATTTAGTTAAGAGTGTACCATTAGTTAATTTTAGTGGTTATAATTAACTAGGGTTAGGGTTAGGGTTAGGGCTAGGGTTAGGGCTAGGGTTAGGGTATTATATCTCTAACCCTGGGCACATGAAACTGAAATGATCTGCAAAGTGGAAAAGGTAAGTTAGGAAGCATTCAGTGATGTGGGTGAACTGACCTTCCTGTCTTCATACGGGTGTCCACGAACGTCCGGAGACGCAGGTGTGAGCGGAGGTTCCCGGCGGACACGCATCCTCAGCTACAGACTGCATTGACTTGTCATTGTGACTCACTCCGACCTCTGCAGCGGTGCTTTTCTTTGCCTGCTAGAAGCCCCGCTGCCAGTTCTATCCGAGCGGCGAAAGAGGGCAGAGACCAACAAAACAAAAAATCACAAATCCCCTTTTCACCTCGCATAGAACGGTATCTCAACAACTAACTAAACTAAATAACACCTCCTCCTCCAATTCTCCCCTTCTCCCCCCAACCTTTCTACCTCCCTCCCTTCCTTCCTTCCTTCCTCTCCCCCTACTTTATGATAAACCAGACTAGAAGCCACGTAACACACTCCTTCGATCTCTCTCTCTTGCTTTCTCTCTTTCTCTCACCACAGCAACCACATATCCAAAGCGGTCAAAACAATAACCTCTGTGTATTTGTTTCCCCCCCTCTTCCTTTCCTTTGTCGGTTCCTTTCTTTTTTCCCCTCATGTCTCCTCCTCCAAAAACACCTCTGTGCGTCTGCGTCCTCCCCCCCATCGTCCTCCCTCCCCCTCGTCCTTTTTATTTTCTACGTTTTCACGTCGTCCGTCTTTGTTTGTTCTGTCATGTGGTCGCGGATGTTCGGATGCGTGTGTGTGTGTGTGTGTGTGTGTGTGTGTGTGTGTGTGTGTGTGTGTGTGTGTGTGTGTGTGTGTGTGTGTGTGTGTGTGTGTGTGTGTGTGTGTGTGTGTGTGTGTGTGTGTGTGTGTGTGTGTGTGTGTGTGTGTGTGTGTGTGTGTGTGTGTTTGTGGCCACCCCAGCGGCCGGATCAGTTACACAGACATGTATCAGATGCTAAGACACATGTGTCCGCCGCTAGGCCTCGGGAAGAGGTGTCCCGCCCGGGTCGCCTATAAGGTAGACTCGCCCCCCACCTTACCCCTCCACCCCCCTCAACCACCACCCCACCTCCTCCTCTCCCTTCCTACTCCCAACATTACTCTCCTCTCTCCTTTCCCCCCTCCCATCTCCGTCTTTAAACCTCCCCATCGCGTGGGAGTAGATCCTTTCCTCTCCTATCTGCTGAAACCTCGGCGTCCCTTTCTACCTTCTCCTCCTCCTCCACCTCCCTCCCTCCTCCCAGCGGTGTTCTCCTCATTGTCTGTTAGTGGTGGTTGTGGTGGTGGTGAGCGCTGTCCTCTCTTCTCTCTCTCCGACCGCGGGGATGGAGGGATGGGCTTTTGTCGTGCAGTGAAGTGATAGTGGAGTGGTAGTCAATCTTCTTTTATTTCCTCCCGTCAGGCCGCAGGAGTAAGGGAACGGAGGAGGCTTTGCCAGTCCTTCTGCAACCTGCACGGACGCATGCACTCGCCAAAATCACGTCCGAAAAGACATAGGTAGAGCACAGATCTGACAAAGAATTCCTCTTGTTCCTTCACAAATTAAGGATCTTCCAAACTAGGACAAAATGCCACACTGGATCTGGCAGTATATGAAGATATTTGATACGCTTTTCGACCAAGGTTGAGATTTAAGGCAAGAAAGAAGTTCCTATAAAGCACATTTTCTGACCATCTTATCTGTGTTGCAGGCACTAAAATGTACTGTACAATAATTAAAAAAAGAACATCCTGTAAACAGCGGTCAAAGACTCCAGGACAATCAACTACCTGTGGTCATTACTGGTATTCTCTGAAAGCATATATATGGAATTAGGTATGCATTGTATTGTTTCACGATAAGAAACGTAAATACTTTAGAGTAGAGGCCCAAAAACAAACTATTTGCTTACGATGCGGCTACAGAAGGACCAGCAAGGGTGTCTGTCTTCAGTTCTCTGCGTCTCTTATTCCTGTGGATGGCACAATAGTGCAAATATAATCATGCCCATGTTACTGTACCACACAATTACAGTGGGCTCAAACAAATAATAATAATAATGCCTTGTGACATGAGTTGGAAAAGATCTGGCCCTTCTAGTTTTTTGTCTTTCTTCAACGTTTCTTTTCTTCCGCCACCCAAGGATACGTCCACGTCTTTGACTTCTCTTGTTGGCTCAGACCACCAGGATAAAGATTTTAGCATCTGCTGCCTCGTTGTCTCGTTGTCCATTCTTTATCTCCAATTCAGTAGACATGTACTCTGTCTATCTTCTCTTTCTCCTTCTTATTGGCATCCAGATTCACTAAAATAGTATTGGAAAGTTAATGTAACTATAATGTTTTCTTATCATATGTGTGTTGCCAAGAAGTTCAAAAACTAGCAATACTCCTGTCATTACTGCAAGTGGGAAGCATCAGCTGTAAAGTTATATAGTATCTACATAAGCTAACATATTCACAACCATGTTTTATTTGTAACTTCCTATGTTAAACTAAAATAGTCTTGACTTTTAGATAAAGGTTTCGATACTTGATGGACATGTTTTGGTCAATACCAGAAAGCTAATTAAGCCCTAGTTTGAAATCTCTTCCACCTTGCCAAAGTTGCTTAGTTACCGGCATTACAATATGAACGACAAAGTGATATATTCTGTCAACAAGATGACTTAGATGAAATTGTACAATCTCTGTGTTGTAAATGGTAAATGGACTGTACTTATATAGCGCTTTATCCAGTCTTTACGACCCCTCAAAGCGCTTTACATACTACATGTCGTTCACCCATTCATACTCTAGGACCTAACATTCACACACCGTTGGCCATCAGGAGCAACTCAGTGTTAAGTACCTTGCCCAAGGATACATCGACATATTGACTGCATGGGCTGGGATCGAACCCACAACCTTCTGATTGAAAGACGACCGCACTCCCTCGCAGCCACAGTCGCCCAGTTGTGCTAAACTTTATCGAGTCTGGATGTCAGTGTTCACTGTCTCTTTCTAGTTTTCTTAACTTTTTCTTTATTCTTTTCGACCTGTTCTCCACGTCATCTTTTAACAACCGTTGTTCTCTCTTTTTTTCTACCTGTCAAATGTCTCTCTTTCTGTCAATCTTCTGTCCTTCTGCCTCCACTTGTCTGTCAGCAATCAGCATCCATCTTCATTTCTTCACAGCATCCCTCTGTCCATCTCTGTCCCTACCTTACCTCTCCGTTCTGTTCTTACTTCTCTTTCTGTCCAGAATGTCGACTTGTATCGGCCGTGATACCCATCACATACTTCAGCCATCAAAGCCCTCCAGTATTCACTGACAGAGTTTCACAGAGAAAGTCCATTGAAGGACATATTGAGCTCAGAAGTCCTGAGGGTTTCTTGTCAGATCAGAGAGGGGACGTTTTAGACATCTGCAACCTTTTTGTAATCGATCAACCATAATGCTCAGGCATCGATCTCCCCTCAAGTGAACACAAAGGGTCACCCTTCCTGGAAAGAGTAGTTTTGATATCTGCGCATCGCAACTGACCTCTTCCTAGTAAACTTATGTCAGTGTTGTTTAAGTCCTTGTCTTTATCTCTTGTCTTGTTCCGTAATTTTCAGCCTCTCTCTTCTATTTCTTGTCTATTCACACACACACACACACAGACCTCTCCCTGTTGTTTCCAATTGACCAACGTTCTCTTGATTCCTCTTTCAGTGTTCTCACGTTCCTCCTTTACCTTTTCATTCTCGCCCTTCCCTTTATATCTGTAACCACATCTCATGACCAAGCTTAGAGCCGCCTAGTTTAACCCAACTAACTGCTGTCCCTATCACGTGTGTCTTTTGAAAGACCCCTTCCCCTTACCCTACAGTACTACTACCATAAAGTCTGGTTGGTCCAAAACAAAAACAGAAAGAACGTCAATCATCTTTTTTTGATCTTCTCTATGATTTTTTTTCTTCTTTCAGGGAACTCTAATACTCTCTAACTTTGACACCCCCTTAAGACAACCGTTTGGCATTGAGAGAGATCTTGACTTGATACGAAATACTATCGCCATTCAATTTGACTTTGATTAAGGGAACCATGAATGTAAAAATGTAGTATGTAATGAGTTAGTCAGTAGTATCAATCCAGTTGGATTGAGGATACTCTCTTTGTGCGGATGCACGGCTACTTGTTTTGTGAAATGGGGTTTTTAGGGAAGTCGGGGGGGGGGGGGGGAATAGTGGGATGGGAAGGTGGGAAAAGTTGGGTCTTAGAAATTGGGAGTGAAGTAAAGGCATGTTGCATGTGTGTCTGGGTTTGTGGCATTTTTCTAGGGGGGTTGTGTTGCATGCAATCGTCGCACTCTTTGTCGCATGGCTATGGGCGACATTGAGCCTGCCTGCAGGGCGCTGTGGATGTTGGCCGATGCCCTCCGCCTGCCTGGGCTCTGGGCATGCCTGACACTCACACACACTCAGGAACACACAAGCATGCACACAACCCAATCGCCATTGTACTACCGTGCTTGCCATCGTGAGTGCCCAACGCTCATGTTCGTAGGTAAATCCAATGGATGCCAACTGGACGGGATAGAAACGGCAAGCAACCCTAGCTAGGGCAGCTTGCTTTGTTCTATCCTCAGGTTGCTCCATTGGTTTTACCTGGTGCAGTATAAACTTGTTAAGACAGGGAACCTCCTTACAGGTAGGGGGAGCTCTATAGAAGATGCCTCAGCTAAATGAAACCCCAGCAGTCTCCTGAAAAAATAGCAGAATTACACCAGTGATACTGTTATTGTTCTCCAGTCGACTTATTTTGTCAAAGGACTCCAATTAAGCGCACTTAATTGGAGTCTGTGAAAATAATTGTCTGTAAGTGGGTGGGGGGGTATGTTGGGGGTTGGAGGGGGGTGTGGTGTATGTGTACTGTTTTATATATATCTACATGTGTGTAACAACAGAGATGTGTAAATGCGGCAATGCATTCACACATTTAGGGAACATGGGCACAGGTTGGGTCGGAGGCCATTTTGGCTCCGATTGTTCTTCCTTGTGGTTCTCGGCTCTCACAGTTGCTTAGCAGCAGATGGCCCTCTTTGGATAGCTGTGCTGTTTCGTAGAGTATCACTGGAAACACAGGAGACGCAACGAATCATCTTTTCAAGTTTCTTTCCCTAAGCAAACACATACATTGATACAATTAAGAAAACTAAAGCACACTTGGAAATACACATAAATGTTCAGAAGCCACCTTGAGTTGAATTTCACTGATTCTACCTATTAAGCTACATTAATCAGATATTGAAAGCTAGTTTTCTTTGTCATGCCCCCTATTTTACAAACCCTGGATGAATCTACTCCACCTCTAATTGGCTATCGTCTATAGAGCTCTCTCAACCGCGTCCCCAACCCTTTACCCTCTCCCCTCTCCCGGAGTTTCAGGCAAACCACACTTTATCTCGGACACGTCCCTTTCTTATCCTCTCATCCTTACTGGCTTTCCACAGAGGCTGCTGCGCATGGATCTGCCGGTTGCAGGTGACAACACGGTGCATTTTAACTCCACCCTCATGGCTCTGATCAGGACAGCACTGGATATAAAGATTGCCAAGGGTATGGTCCTCAAGTACTATCATCCCTAATTGTTCATCAATGTTATTCTATTGTCTGATATTCTTCGGGATTCCTTGGTAATTCTTGGGTATGCCCTTTAACCTCTCAATTTGTGTCTGTTTCTCTTCAACAAGAAAGCGCTTTATTATTGTACACAATATGACAAAACTCTGCCATTTCTGACACTAACAAATAATCTTTTTGTTTTGGGTGAATGTGTTTACGCGTGAATGGCTAAATATATTTATTTTGCGATTGTATGCCTTTGTGCCTTCCTGTTTGCTCTGTACCTTCTTGCCCTGTGTTTATGTGTGGGGGGTGTTTGCAATTGTGTGGACCTGTTTGTGTGTGTGTGTGTGTGGGAATTCTGGTTTGTGTGTGTGGGCATTCTGGTTTGCCGGGCAACCCAGGCGGTGCAGACAAACACCAGATGGATGCTGAGCTGAGAAAGGAGATGATGGCTATTTGGCCAAACTTGTCGCAGAAGACACTGGACTTGCTGGTTACACCGCACAAGGGTAAGTTGCTAAAAAAAAATGGCGCATAGTGGTGTGTGTGTCTTCGATCACCAACTCACCGAGAGGACAGCTTCTACCAGCCAGTGTCATTCACTGCTTCGCATCTCCTGATCAGGATACTCCAGGATAAACACACATACATATATGCATAAATACATATATACACCAATGTAGATTATGTATGAACAAAAGTACCTCCAATACTGTAGCATAGAGCAAGATATATATGACAGGCATTTAGTGTAAAGATCCAATGCTGTAAATTCCCCTTACTTACTGGCAAGATATGTAAAAACAATCATTGTGTTTGCCGTCAACATTCATTGCGCACAGAGCAAGTGGTTTTGCTCAAGCCATACCAATAAAGTACATTATGGTTCCTGCTGGGTTGATGAACTCTCAGAAACAGGAAAGCATAGCCTTTTTCCTAATGGCCTTCATCATGACAAAATATGATGTATTTAGCCTCAAGACTGGTTTACAGTAACTCATTTAGTCTCCTCAACAATAGAGGAACTAAAGACCAAACCAAAGATTCAGAGTCAGGTTTAGAGACAAAAACACAACTGGTTTGGGAGGCGTGTGGCGCAGTGGGGTTGTGCGTTGGTGTTGGGATCAGGGTTCAAACCCCACTGCAGTCAGCATGTCGTTGTGTCCCTGAGACCCTTCACCCCAAGTTGCTCCTGTGGGGATTGTCCACAGTATTGAGTATGTAAGTCGCTTTGGATAAAAGCGTCTAACATGTAATGTAATGTTTCCCAGTCATGAATACAGCAGCGTGTGCCTTTTTAGAAAGGGCTTTCTAAGGATGTGTTGTACAACTGAGCTTGAGGCTATATGATCCACAACATATACTGAACGTATGCAACTACCTGAACCCTGGAGAAAGTAGTAGGGGGTCTCTGCTCCGTCTCCCTTTAAGCTAAGGGATCCTTTACCTAAATAGACCCCTGATTTAGGCAAATAGACAAGGGTGTAAAACAAAAGGAAAAGGTTTAACTGTCATGGTCACATAGGTGTACACAAACACATAAATCACCGACAGTAGCACACACACTCATCTTTACACACATCAAGACAATCCTGGTATCAGGGGGTGCCAACTATAGAAGATCCTCTATAGAAGTCTTTTCACTACAGGAAGAATTGAGCATTTAGATCTAGCCTAAAACGTTTATATCGAATGCTTGCAATGAATGAAGATGAATGCATTTTCAGTTAGATCTGTTTGATAATTTGAATGATTTAAGCACAAGCTAGTAGAATGATGCATGCATAGCAAAAGCACCATGGTGTTTGGCTAAAAGCATGAAAGAGAAAAGGGTTTATTACACATGAGATATGTGTGGTCCTTTCTTATCACACATTATGTGTTTTTAATGCTGGAAGACTTGGAGCCATGCCACTTTGAAAAGGTCACCACTCCTTTAGTTAGCCACCAAAACAAAGCTCAACATTTTTTTCTGATTATTAATGTGCTTCATCCAAACTCTGGGGATACTTGTCTGGAGTTTTTAGAAAAAAATGGAGTTCCTGTTTTCTCCCGGATTTGACTGAGGTGTCAACGTGTTTCTTAGTGAGGTGGCTACCTGGTCCTCAGCCTTGATATGAAGATTACATATGTTAACGGTTGATTCAGTTAGATAATAGTGACAGAGAATGCTACTTGAAATGGTTCAGCATCTGCCTGTGAAAAGACTATTGGCCTTGTTGTATTGTATATTGTATTTGGTGGTTGCACACCAGCAAGAGGGCACAGTTCTGTTTCAGTTACGGCTTCACAGAGAATGTTTAGATTGTGGTTACCAATTATGCTCCAAGACACCAAAACACAATTCAATGTGTTTGTTTGAAGGCCTCTTAACAGCAACAACAATTTTGTAATTACCTTTTGTTCTTGGTAAATCAGGAAAATGCTTGCAGCACATAGGAACTCATCGTCAGCATTTAAACAGATCCTTTGCTTTGTCCTGCCCGATAATACATAAAGTTGTATATTATCATGTTAGCCTATTTAGCTGGTCCGAAAAACAGTTTGCAGCATGAGCTTTTTAGATTTTCGGAGCTGAAGTAATGCATTGAATAAGCCCTGTGTTGGTTAGATCAACTAGATCAGTGGTTCTCAAACTTTTTTCAATAATGTACCCCCTTTGAAAAAGATATTCCACCAAGTACCCCCTGATCAGCGCAGGGACAACAAGCCTATATAAAGAGGTACAGTACAGCGCTGCACCATCAGTGTCTGATTTATTAAAACAACAGTAACTGAGAAACACTTAAATGCTACATTTCAAATGTTTACAATCCATCACTAAATTCATGGCAAACCAATTTTAACATCAAGCAATAACACAGAGACGACATTAGCTGCATTGAACTGATCTTTTTAATAAGTTGTACAATGTAGTGAAACATGGGCTCGAGCTTCACTGAGGGTCTTTGTCATTCTGACAGCGAGGCAACCTGCAGTTATTACACTTCACGTTTTGAAATATGTGAAACTCTGTTAATATAAAACCCACACTGCTCAAACTTCCTTACTTTTCCTAAAATTGGTTTATTTATCTATTTTTTTTTCATTAACATAAAATAAATCTCACGTACCCCCTGCAGTACTCCAACGTACCCCTAGGGGTCCGCATACCCCCATTTGAGAACCACTGTATTAGCCGATGAGAATGAGGTTTTGTGTCCCAAAGGGAAGCACACAAGCATGACTGTAAATATGCTTGCCCACATTTAATGATATCTACAATAAAACATGTGAAAGTCCAAGCATGTCCCTCACAGCGTTCTTTGCTTACAATTATTGGTAACCACTGACCAAATATTCTGTGAACTGAAGATTAAAATACCCAAACCTACGAATTTGGTGAGTATTATGTCTAAATTCTTGATATTTTGCAGCTCAAGCACTTGACTTTGAAGCTGACGTCTCAGAATTGTCCCGACTGCTGGAGTTTGCTGCATGTAGTTGTAAATGTCGTGCGTCACGTCCCCCACTCCCATTCCCCCCACGGCTCAGGGTCCCATCTCGCTCGGGTCTAATCTTGCAGGGTAACTTGTCATTTTCTCAGCAGCCACAGACTTGACGGTCGGCAAAATCTACGCCGCCATGATGATCATGGAGTACTACCGGCAGAGCAAGACGAAAAAGCTGCAGGCCCTGCGAGAGGAACAGGTAGACTCCATCACAGAGAACTTGCCTGAACGCCAACAGACCTTTTCCTCTTCCGCCTTCGGCCCTCTTTCTTGAGCCTCCTTCCACTAAGCCCTTGGAGTGAATTTGCCTTGATATATCATTTTAAAAGAAATAGTCCTCCAGCCACACTTCCAAACAAACCCTCTCTTCTTCTGCTTTCCTTTCATCACCTGTTTACGCCTGTGCGTTACCCTTTTCTTAGCATGATCCTTAAAAACCTGCGTCTCTTTATCTAGCACCTTGTTGCTCCCTTGGCCAGCCCTATTCCTCCTTGCTAACATTAAGGTATTAAGCTGTTTTCCTTTCTATCGCCAGTAAGCTACCGCTCCCTTTTGCGCTGCTTTTCTCTCCCTGTTCACCGCGGGCTGTTTGCACGTGGTGAACAGGATCACACAGGTTTACCAACCATGGTTTTTGTTGTGTTGAGCAATAATGATGATGATACCACATGGCCTTATCTTTTGTTCCCTGTCAGTGCTCCTCCCCCTCTCGTCAATGAATGCCTTTGAGATGCACTTGCTCCCGCTGTATCTGTATTTTGAATCCACTCTCGAAACATCTTTCCATTCATGTAACACCTCCCATTAGCTCCAGCAAATCATCCATTTAGTTCAGCACTTTATCGTAAAACTGACAAGATTCGACCAAGTCCAAATTCACTCAAGATGTCGTCTTGAGTGACTTTGACTTCTTAGACTATTTCTTACGATGGGATTTCCATTTTGCCGAACAAAGGGGAGGTCTAATGAATGGAGAGGTTGTTACTCTTTTTCTTTCAAACAGTGCAAATACAGCTTGTGTTGGTTTATTCTTGAATGCAGCCATCCCATTGGACTGAATGGACAGGTTCACCCAGGCTCTCTCAACATCACCAGTACACAAGGACTCTAACCAGTCTGTGTGTATGTCAATGTGTCCGGCCATCTCTACTCTATCTCACTTCATTCTACCTCTCTCCGCCCACTGTGGTCTTTGCTCTTCTATTGCCTTCTATTTAAAAGGAAGAATCCACCCAAAAACGTTATAATGCATTTATCAAGGCGATGCCATTTGTCTTTCTGGCTTATCGAAATCAGCGTCAATCTCTTGTCATGTTGAGATGTATACAGTACTGCGACAATGGACAGAAATATTCCTTGGCTATCTAAACCATCAGGTTTGTATCTGCCCCTTAGTATCAAATATAAGGGTGTGGCTTCAGTTGAAAAATGCCAGAAGAAAATTGCTAGGATCTGCTGGAAATGTTCTTGAAAGAATGGCCGCAAAAGGCTACGAACATATTCAATCAAGACCACTCCATTTGTTAGTTCGTAGTATAGTATCTCGCCAAATGAAAACAAAAAGTCCAATTAAGGAAAACTAGGGACATGAGGAAAGGACCACAGTCAGTTGGTCACAATGTCAGGGAACCAGAAAGTGGATTTTTTCTTTGATTCCTTATTTGTTGTTCTCGTCTTGCTCCCCGTCCGTTACCTACTGGCGTCTCAGTCGTCCTCTTCAGTGTTTGTTGAGCTGTTGTCTTGTCTCAAATATTGTGTCTACTGTCTGTCATTCACCTGTTTTCTCACTGTTTTTCAGTCCCTCATTCCTGTCTTCCATGTCGTCTCTGTCCTTCTGATGCTCTCCCTTTATCCTTCCAGGAAGAGATGAGACTTTGACTTTTCAAGCTCTCCCTATTTGGTCAATCCAGGTCTATTGTCACCAAGTTGCTCTAACCAAAGACCCATTCTCTCCCGTCTGTGTGTTCATGGATCTGTCTGTTTACCTATCTGTCTGCCCTGGTGGTTGGTGAGATGTTGAGTGGAGGTTCCTGTAACCAGTGGCTCCGTATGTAATCAGTCAATCCTTGGAGAGCCTTCATTGATACATATGCCACTGCTGAAACACCCTCCATTGAAATGTCCAGTGTCTGTGTTACGTGTTTTCTGTTCATGTCTTCGCCATAATCCATCAAAGTATTTGTATCATGAATTTTCTGAAGTAGAGCTAGCCAGAACCAGACTATCAAGAGACAAACGTGAACCAGTTACCTCCGACACAGGAAATGACTACTGGACAGGATTAGACGCAAAGAAAGTGAGGAAATATAAGGCTTTTAGATTACATGAAATAACCCCTTTAGCAGCAATACTGGAAAACCACATTTCTATCCAAAGGACTTGAAGGCCAACACATACGTGACGAATTTATGTTGACAACAAATTAATGTCATACACTCATAACAACCACAAAATGTGCTCCGATCATTTCAGTTTTTCGATAGCTGACCAAAGTTGTCTCGTAACTGGTTACTATCATAACTATCTGGTTAGCACACAAGCTAACATATTCATTAGCAATGAGCTTTTTTCATTCCTTTGACTTGACGTTATGCTAACATGTCAAATGCATTTTATATCATTCATATGTATTATTCTCAGTTAAACCCACATTTCAAGTTTGTAAATAAATAGATTTTTCAGACCACTTGCTTACTTAGAAATGTGGCCAACTAAATCACAGCTATCTGCACCTCTCTGGCAACTAGGTTTGTTGATTTAGATTTCGACAGCAAATAATCGACCATCCAAATAACTAGTGTTTCTATACTTAAAGTATCTTTGAATTAAGAACTCTTTAACATAGTAGTTAGACAATCCTGTCCAGCAGATCAGCCTCACGTGTCAGAGGGTTATTGGACGTTTATCTGTTTCTAAACCGGCCTCGATCCATCTGCACATTCAGCCTTTAGCTTCCAGGCTGTGGAGGATCATGACAAAACTGTAGCAGTCGCAAACTCTCAACGTTAAGCCACTTTTAAGGAGGACTCCATTACCCAGGGTCCCCTAGAAGGAAATCCTCCTGACCTCAGACCTCATGAAAGCTACAGTTGTTTTTTGAACTAGTTCCAGTTCAAATGTCCTCTTCCCAAAAAATGGCATATTACTCAAAATAATTAAGAGTCACACATATTGTTGAACTATGAATTTTGAGTAAATCATATTGTTTGATTATTTGTTTCATGAGTACGGCCATCTGGTCCAAGATGTGTAATTTAAGAAAAATCTTACCTTAAATGCCTAAGGTAGAAGTTTCCCTCTGATTCAGATCTGGGATCAGCTTTCTGTCCCCGAACATAAGCCCAGACTGATATGAAGAAATCAATCAATATATAGGTTCCCCTTAAACACTTCAGTGTGGTTAGCAGATCCCAGATCAGCAGTCTGGCAGGGAACTTTACCTTGGATACCCACAGCCATGTGTATGCCGATGGCGCCCTCGTGTGGGTGCATGCTGCGAGTGCATCCTGTGTTTGTGTCCTGTGTCTGCCCCCTGAGTGTGCCTGATGCCAGCCTGCAGGCCATGTCGTGTATCTCACACAGAACCGAACGCCATTAATGTTTCAGCGCATGGAGCCGCCCTCTGAGGGCACAGAGGGCCAGGGGGTCAGGGTCCCAACGGCCTCCCCATCACCCAACCAGACAACCACACCATCATGTGAGTACACTGTGGAGGAAGCACGAGACTGCACGGACGTATTTCACACACCTATTTAATGTAATCATTAATGCATTCATAACGTATGCATAAAATGACCACATAATATTTCAGGAAGGTAATTTATCAAGTTATTCACTCCAGTTGTAGCTCCGGACCTCAGCTGTCTGACAGCTTAAGCGCTTTAACCAGGGTTTAAAAAGTAATGGTGGGATTTATCATTTGGTACACTGATCATTTACAGCAGGGGTGTCCAAGAATCGGCCCTCAGCAAATTAAAAAAGTATATTGAAATATGGCCCACAAATTAAACTTGTGCTTGTCTTATATTGTACTTCTTAAATGTAAATGTAAAAATATATTACACAGTAGTATTCATGTGTTAATAAATACCACTTCAATTAACGTTGGAAACATTTTCTAAAATATCTTAGTTGAGAAGAAAAAAGCCCAATGACTTATTTACAAGCTTGAAATACACCCTTCATATTTCTCCTTATTATCATCAATCTGAGGCTTCTGTTTTAAGGGATGAGCTGCCAACACTCACAAGCATCCTCTACATACATTTGATTGATTTTGCTAACTTATAACTGAACTTATAATAATAATAATCCTTATATTTATTATAGTGCTTTATCAATGACTCTCAAAGCACTGAGGCAATATATATATATATAATATATATGAGGCAATATACCTCTAGTGAGTGGCCCAGCCCTTCGTATATCTTTCTGTATGTGGCCCTCGGGGAAAAGTGTTGGACACCCCTGCTTTTCAGCTTAACCTGAATGTTCCCAATGTGCCCGAATGTTCTCAAAAGGCGACCGTACAAATTACACTGTTGATGGAAGATAACCAATTGTTTAAGTGTGCGTTTACGAGAAATTAAATTCCATATAATATAAACACCAGCTTTCAAGAGATTCCATATCACAACCAAATTCATACACAGACAATTCTTAAAGTCAGCCTCCCTATTCGTCAAAGATGTCGTTTGACTGCTAGTTGACGCTGATTCCTTGAGCTCCCTGATTTCTAATCCTCCGAATTGTGTGTGTGTGTGTGTGTGTGTGTGTGTGTGTGTGTGTGTGTGTGTTGTGTGTGTGTGTGTGTGTGTGTGTGTGTGTGTGTGTGTGTGTGTGTGTGGTGTGTGTGTGTGTGTGTGTGTGTGGTGTGTGTGTGTGTGTGTGTGGTGTGTGTGTGTGGTGTGTGTGTGGTGTGTTGTGTGTTGTGTGTGTGGTGTGTTGTGTGTGTGTGTGTGTGTGGGTGCCAGACCTCCCGAGGAAGGCATGACTGAGAGCCCCGACCGCCCCTACCCCGACGATCTGCACGACAACCGTCACAACCCGCAGGTATGATGAGCAAACAAGCATGTCGCCAACATGGTAACACACCAATTCAAGACCAGCGAGTTCTCCGCTCACACACAGCTCGTCTACGACCATGCCGGTTACCTTTCAGTCTAGTAAAAGCATTTGAGTGCAATCAATAATGGTTTTGGTTACGCAGATATTATGGTAGAGGGAAGAATCTTTTGCAATTCAGATATTAAAACCCTCAAAACTATTACAGTGTTTAAACTTCACATAAAAAACATAGCATTTTATCAACACGATGTTAAATTATTTAAAGTCTCCACCTGTTTAACTATCGGAAAGGCAATCCCATTAACAAGCTTATTGGCGCAACCTACCCAATATGAACCAATCAATGTATTTTAGGCGTAACAGTTATTCGTCAATTCAATTCATAAAGAAAAAAAATAACTCAGTACTCTTTGATTTTAGTAAGAGAGCCTATATTCAAAAGCACAGCCTTTACAAATAAGATTGTCAAGAGGCGCGTTCACACCGGAGCACTTTTCCCCGTACTTTTCCCGTTTAGTTCCGTTAGTACCCCTTATTTTGCGTTCACACCAAAAAGAGTACTTAGTGCCGGGAACTTTTACCCCCATTTTTAGTCCCTGCTGAGAGGTGGGACTTTCCTGGGAGAAAAAAGTACCAATTTCTGATTGGCTGGGCGGATTGCAAACCACGCCCCGTAAAACTCTGAAAAGTTTTGTGAAGCCGCCATTGTATTTGCTGGCATTAGCATTATTAGCATTAGCATTAGCTCCACGCACAAACGCAGAGAGACTACCTTATGGCAACACAAAAGAAAACATGGGCGCGGTGGAGATGAGGAGGTGTCGGCGTTCTGGCGATTTACTCGGAAGGCTTCAGTAGAAGCTGCTGGGACTCCCAGCAGCTTCTACTGAAGCCAGTCTCCAACTCCGGAGACTTCGGGCCGGGGACTTTGGGCGGCAGTATACGCCGTGAAGTGGTTTGTGGCCTGCCAGTAAACCCAAAGCAGAAGAAGTAGTAGTGACGTCAGCGGCTCATTTGCGTAATCCTCCCCCAGGGAACTTATTCCGGTGTGAACGCCATCTGTACTTAGTTCCATGCGGGCACTAAGTGCGGCAAAGTACTTGGTGTGAAAGCGGCTAAGGAGAGTGACTGAGTGAAAAGTAAAAACCCATATTTTGATTGCCTCTAAAACCCAATCTTCTGCAGAAACGTACATGTACAAACCCTGGGAGTTTGAAATTGTTAGCTAGTTATGCTAACGTTACAATGTGAGCGTTAGCAAACAGGAAAACGACATTATTGCTAATAATATCAACAAAAGTCTTTAAGTTAATATAAGTTATTTTTTGCTTTACATGATGTTACCTACTAGGTTACAGTTATGTCGTAATGAAAATCACTTAATGTAATCATGTCAGCTAATTGGCTAATGTCGTTAGCCTTGCTAGCTAACAATATTAGCAGCTTAACATTTTGTGGGCTAACTTTTTAAGTTACAGTCCAATACAAACATGAAGGTTGTGTGTTATTGGTGATATCATGTGGCTTATTCAAACTAATGAAGGCATGCTGTTTTAAGCCCAACATCACAATTTCAGAGTTCAGCCTGGAGCTTCTCAGAAACTTCTCGTGGTGTCTCTCTGTCCTTTGAGACCTTTCTTTTAACATTTTCCTCCTCCTTCATGGTTTTCTGTTCACTCTTCAACCTCCTCTTGAGTCCTTGGCTAGGAGTTGGTAGATGTGTTGTGTGATGTTCCGGCTCTCCTCACCTTACTTCTACTTGTCTGTTGGGACGTCCTCCCCAGTCCCTCATCTCTCTCTACAACCCCAACACTAATACAAACAGTTTAGAAGGATTTGGTTGTTTCTTTGAAGAGTTTCCAGCCCCAGTGTTGGATTATTCAGTTGGCAGATTCATCCCCAATGTTTCCAAATAAGAAGATCTCCCTACACTTGACAAAACGCACAACAAAGCATTTTTTTTTTTTTTAAAGTTACCTCACAAAAAAATCGAGAATGATTTAAGTCACGTAATCGTATAGTGCAAATCTGATATTGTGATAGCCCTACATCAGAGGTGTCAAACTCAATTTCATCGCGGGCCACATTAGAATTATGGTTGCACTCAAAGGGCCGGTGGTAACTTTAAGACTATATGAATGTATTATTTAACAATATTTCCTCTGCATTGGATTATTATCGGATAGGCCAATAACTTCATAATTAACTATGTCTGAAAGTAGAAGTCGAGTAATTGCAAGTCTCTTCAGTGGCATCTCACAAAATGAGATGCATTGTGGGACATGTAGTTTATGGGCAACGTGCTCCTGTAAAGCGGCACGTAACCTTATAATAAATTATATTCTTTGCAAGCTCTTGTGGGCCACATACAATGAAGTGGCGGGCCGAATTTGGCCCCCGGGCCTTGAGTTTGACACCCCTGCCCTACATCATTGAATCTGTTTCATGTCGTTAGTTGGCCCCTCCCTCATTTAGTAGATGCCACCCCCCCCCCCTCAGCGGACATAATCCATCCAACAACCACCTAATTTTAAATGTGTATTCTTCAACACGACAAAGGTTGCAAAACGCAATTTAAGTCTTTTATTACTGTAATTGAAAAGGAATATAAGAAACTTTCCTCATACATCATTGTAGGGCTGTCGCGATATACCCGTATTTGCGTTAACCATGATATCATAATAAAATAAATGATAGAATGCCTCTTAAATAATGTATATATCTTTCTGTTGCACGCATCTCCCTACACTTGACAAACACACAACAACAAAATAGCAATAATTTTGTTTAAGATATTGCTAAAATATTGTGAATTATTTAAGTCACGGTAATCGTATAGTGCAAATCTGATATCGTGATAGCCCTTCATCATTGAATCTTTCATGTCGTTAGTTGGCCCCTCCCTCATTTAGTCGACGCCCCCTCAGCGGACAGCGGTCACGCCCCTCTCGTTGTGTTTTACAGACGGTAGAAATGAGGGAGATGGGGCGGGACGGGTACTCCGACACTGAGCCCTATCACCCAATGGATGGGCACGGGCGGACCCTCTCCATGCCCCGCCTCTCGGCAGACAACCAAGTGAGCACCTTCATCCCCCCCCCCCCCCCCCCCCCCCCCCCCCCAATCATCCTCCATCATTACCCCTGTTAGCAGGACAGTTGAAGTGAATGGGAAGAGTCTCTCCTTGCATCTGAAACAGAGAAGAGAACTGAGCCTCGTACGAACCAAACCCCCTCCGTTTAAATACTTAACAAACAGCCTATACTGTATACTTGCAAGTTCCAAGGCTTTATTGTCATTTGCACATTAGCTACAGTGTAGATATGGCAATGAAAAACGTAGGAACTCCAACAGTGCAACATATATATAGGACATACAACAAATAAAACAGATAAGATAGTGCAAGAGAATGTTTGGAGATGTGCAAGTAAATACAAATACAATAGAAATAGTTCAAGAAGAGCCTATATACAAAAGTAACTGTACTGTACATACGTTTGTATAAAAAACAAAAAATGGTGGGTTGATTTTTGGCATTTTAATTTGCCAACTAGTTTGATATCAGATGTGTTTAAGCTGTTCTCAAACCTGTGTAATCAAATGGTATAAATAAAAATAAAATATTAGTCTAGTTACTTCCGCAGTGAAGCACTTGTTGAGTTATTGTAGGCCTTGTAACTAAGTCACCACCATATGACTTGCTTGAAGGGAATATATCTGCACTGTCCTTGTTGTTCAGAGTTTGAATCTGTATGGTTTCAGCACTTATTGTAAGTGATGTAATGTTATGCAACTTTCCTTATAACCCAAACTTTAACTTACTTGTAATATAACCTATACAACCAGGTGTTTCCTGCTGATGTGTTGGAAATCAACACGTAACTGGACATTCGTAGTAACCACAAAAAATCAAGATAGATAGGAAAGAAATTAAGAAACTCATCTTTAGTCATAGAAAAATGTGATTAATAAAGTATAGATATATTAGATAGATATTAGACAAAGTACGTGTGTGTCATTTTATTCCGTCGCTCTAGTTCTCTGCATAGGAAACATGGCTCACTTCCTACACAGTGTTTGTCAGGATGCAAAGAATCAGTGAGACTTTTGTAAATTCACTTCCATCTGTCAAATCTCCTTCCCTCCTTCCCTTCACCTCCTCTTTCCTCACTCCTACCCTCCCTTATCCAACAGCCGACCCAATGCAAACAAAAAGGGTCGGAGGGCTGGATAAGTGGTCTAGATGTGTGTACAAATATATCTAGAAGACTCTAGAATACCTTCCAAACATCCCCTGTTCCCAAATCCATTTCCATTGAATCCTTGGTGTGTCTGTCCTGTGTGAACTGCGGCCAGAGGTACATCCTCTCATCAGAAATTAAAATACAAGCATGTGCTTCTTAAAAAACATGCGAAACAAATGCACCCCCATGCATAGGTTGCTAATAAATTGTATTTGGAGATTCTTTTTGTGGTACTTTGGTTTCAACCGGGGCTTCTGGATCATTGGCTTCGTCAAACTGACCCTGCTTCTCAGATGTGTTATTGTAGAAGTTTGTGCTTAAATTTTAAATTTCAACCTTTAATTTGAACTGCAAATGCATTAGGTGAGATCAAAAGCAATTCAAGCGTTTCATATTGTGCCATTCTAGGTTGAGATCAGGCAGGGATGGACTGGTGGTCTGCGAGGGTACTGCAGGTGGTCCGTGATTTCTTTTTTTATTATCAAGGGTTTTCGCAGAACGCCTCATATGCAAACTGTACAAATAAGTACATATATAAACGTAGTGTCAAAACGCAGATATTTGTTATTGTTAATTATGGACAACACTTAATTTCACCACTGGTTACCCATGGTTACGTGTGCGCGTGCAACACCACAAACATGGATCGGTGGCTAACATCAGGTTCTCTGAAGCAGATTGGTCCCATTGAGAGCATAGATCTCTTTTTCAAGGGAGACCTGCAGCATATAGGTTCCACATGAAACATGAAACAATAAAGGACATCATACATTATATTTACAGGATACATTTACATAGTTATAGACATTTAAGTGCCCATAGTATCAACAAGCATTTCATTTAGCCTAGCTTTAAAAACATGCAGAGGAATGAGATTGCTCAGTTTCAATTCTAGCTGAAGATTGTTCCAAGCAAGTGGAGCTGCGCACATAAAAGCTGTCTTACCTAAGACAGTCCTTGCTCTGGCACATCTAACAATACTACATCATGCGATCTCAGACAATAGCTGCTTGCAACTCTCTGTTATCAGAGAGCATAATACGGGAGTTTACCCAACAAAGCTTTATAAATAAACGTGCACCAATGACTGAGCCTCTTTCAGTAAGGGATGCAGACCTGCCTTGGCATACAGGGTACAGTGATGAGTAAGTGCTTTACAATTTGTGACAAATCTCAGTGCGCTGTGATAGCGGCATCTAGCTTGTCCAGGCGATAGGCAGGTGCATTCATATGATCAAATCACCATAGTCCAGCACAGGTCAAAAGGTCACAGTGACTAGCCTTTCCTGGCTATGGAAAAGTTCTCCAATGGGAACTACTTGGAACTGGATTTACCTACATAGGCACTGGAGATGAGCCTTTGCCAGTATGCGTTCTGTGCTACGAGACACTGGCTAACGAGAGCCTAAAACCAGCTTGGAATCTGGCACTTAACGTTTATATATGTACTTATGTTTACGGGTTTGCATACACAGTACATTTCTCTGAGTAAAATTGACTCAAGTTGAAGAAAATGTAACTCTAAAAATATTACATTTGGTCCCAACCTATATAGAGGTCAAATGTACTCTTGTTCAGAGTTGTATTCTTAGAGTTAATTTGACTCTATAATGTGCTTAGATTTGACTCTGCTTAATGGTTATTTACTCTATGTCTATTAAAAACAACTCTACTGCCATTTTACTCATAATAGAAGGTCATTTTACTCCCAATAGAATTAAATGAACCATAATGATCTTCAGCAATGAAAAAGGTCATAACCAAAGTGCTCTAGAAAGCTATGAGTATAATACAATACACTCCAAAATGATGAAATATCACTATTTCAGAGCAAAATAGTAATTACTCTGGAAAAAATATCACCAATATTTCGTGTGTATGAGGTGGTCTGTGCGAAAAATCCTTGATAATAAATAGAGGGTCCGCATAAAACACAAAGTGTGAGAACCCCTGTGTTAGAGGGGCACTTTCTACTAGTAACCTCAAACAGAAAATGGTGAGGACACTGAAAGCAGTCCATGTATTTAAATCTTGTGGACAAAATTGGTTTTCTCGACCTTTGAATTAAATGATATTTCTTATGTAACACTAAATAATTTCCATTTGCCACGAAGCCCTCTGTCTGCAGTTTCACCACACAACCACACACATTCATTCCATATCTCATGATGCTCTCACCTCTGGTATGTTGGTTACTCCATGGTTTCTGTATGAACAGTTAGAGGAGAGTGGTATAAGAGGTTTTCAGTGACATTCATACTTATTCTTAAGATTTTGATCGTGCAATGGGTGGGGGTTGATGAGAGAGTGTTATCTCTTAAAACACTCTTAACAGATATAAAGGTGTGTGTGGTTCCTAGGTGTCAGTCAAAGTCAGCTTTATTGTCTCCACGTGTTATACATACAGAAATCTCGATATACCGTTTCCCGCAGTCCCACAGTTTGCATATATCATAAAACAAAAAGGGCCTAGATAAACGGGTATACAACTAGTATAGTTTTAATAAGTGCTGGTTAATAATATATATTTAAAACACAGTTAATACTCTCAATTAATGCTGAGTCATTTAGAGAAGTGTGGACTGTTTTCTTTATTCCACTTTTATATTTTTGACTATCCTCATTGAAACAACTACCTTATATTTCTGTGTAGATGTGAACACAGTTACTCCTCAGTGCACATCGTGACGAGTTGAAATAGATAGCTCCACATGAATAAAGGAGTGTTGTGGGAGTGTAGAAAATGTCCTATGTGTGTGTTTGTGTCGGTGTGTGTGTTGTATTTACAGGTTTATGTGTGTGTGTCCATACACTGTTACTTACTGCCTTTCTAACCAACTGCTCTGCCTTACAGAGAGCTCATGCTTGTTTTCGGTAAGGTGTGTGTGTGTGTGTGTGATTCCTCTCCTCCTCGCTCACTGGCACCTCGCTCTGATGTGTGTGCACTGGCCTTTAAATTAACTGGGTTTTCTCTCTTTCTCCTCTTTCTGCCCCCCCCCCCCCCCCCGTATCACCTATCATTATTTACCTTCATCTCCTTCCTCCAAAAAAATTGTATCTCTCCGATTTCCCCTTTTCTCCTCCTCATATCTCCGATTTCTTTCATACATTTCTCTCTCTATTCTCTTTTGGTCCTGGCGGCTTTGCTTTGTCGGACCAATGCTGCGTGTGTGTGTGTGCGTGTGCGTGTGCGTGTGTGTGGTGTGTGTGTGTGTGTGTGTTTACGCTCTGCTCTACGTATCATCTCTGTGTTTGCCTGCTCTGCAGCGGAGGAGACACAGGCCTCGTGGAAATAACCTCAGTGTATGTACTTCTCTCTGTCTCCTCTCCTTCTCTCTATCTCCTCTCCTTCTCTCTATCCCTCCTC